GATTCACACTCTTGTTTCATACAAACACAATGGGCACTGTCTTGTGACTCATCTATTGATAGTAGTGAAAGGAGAAGGTCAATATTGTTAGTAATATAACGGTTTTTGTTTTGCTGCTAGGCAGATTTTATGCTGTGCAATGCTATTTTTTTTCTTAACAGAAGTAGAAAAAAAATTGAATGATAGCATATGTGCATACATCTTGAAAAAAAATGATGAAATGAGCATTTACTTTACACTTTACTCAATTTATCTGTAAGTGTTTTTACTTTTTTTGTTAAAGCTGCAGTCCGAAGTTTTGCCTCTTTGTCTCCATCTCTGTTTGAAACCTGCAACTGCAGTTATTTGCAGAATTATCTTCCTTGCGTGGGTTGTGCACCGGCACAACTCCAGTGCGGATGAATCTTATGTTTTGAGGTGTATGTGTGGCTGTCAGTCACTGCACCGCTGTGGATACTGTACTTAGGACTCACAGATTCTAGCCTACATCTTGGAATATATGACCCAAATAAGAATTTTCACTGGATATTGTCATCTGAACAAGCAGTAGCAAGTCTGCCACGTTTGTTCTGACCAACTGAGGAAAAAAGCATTACAATAAATCGCGCTACCAATGGTAATTAAATCTAACGATCGGTTAGCTCATATCACATCAAACCGTGCATATTATTATTATTATTATTATTATTATTATTGTTATACTTTGTTCTTAAATTATTAATGTTAACAACATCAGCATTGCGTGACTATATGTATGTAGTGTGTATTAGCGTGTAGATTCCAATTTCTGTACAGTCTAATTTCTAATTGTCATAGCATTCAAATTTTATATTAAGAAATTCTTTTAACCCAAAAAGCTAATTATTCTCCCTTCTAACTGCCATCTGTGGCTGTGCTTCAAGTCGAGCGCACCTAATGACGCAGTGGCAGCATGCTCCAATTTCCCACGAGTTCCTACCAGTACCACTCAAATTAGAAAACATTATAATAAGCTAACCGTTGTGAATCGGGCTAAAGTAAGGTGGTAGTTTTGAACACTGACTGGTTGCTCAAATATTGATATTCAAATATTTGATCATTTTCAACCACAAAAAGTTATGGACTGCAGCTTTAACCAGCTGATATTAATTGGCTAAGTGGGTACTTTTTTGGTACCGCTGAACTTAAGACCATTACTTTTGGTAAACGCACCCCTGGTCAATGCATCGGTCACTAGTTTACCCTTCATTACAGAAGAGCAAGAGTTTATGGAGTAGATCGCACACATGGGGAGGAGAGCACATACAAACCCTGAAGTCTGCCACCTCTCATTCAATATTGAGAATATTGAGTTAAGCAGGCAAAAACCAGCACTGGCTTGGTTTTGAATGTTTACTACACACCGGGTGTGTCCCACAAAAAAGGCGAATAAAAAATGGCAATAGGGGCCGAAGGACTTCCAATAATGCTTTTATGGGATGGGTAAGCCACAAAGCGCATGGAAAGTAAAACAGCCGAGGCCGGGATGGAGAGGGCTGGCACGCGATATGGAAGTCATCACTAGAGAAGTCTCGCATCCTGCTGTCGTGTATTGACATGAACGTCTATGATCTCTTCAATATGTTAGGGTGGAGCCGTCTGCTTTCACTTACCCATGCAAACGATGCAACAACAAACAGAAAGAGCGAGAGTATGAGGAGGGGTTTAAAAGAAAGTAAGAATATGAGTTACAACTGTGCAAAATTAATGAGGTGGAGGCCCCTAACAAGGAAGAAGAAATGAGACGGATGAGAACATTGAGAGCTTGAACATATAAAAGACCCTACAATGCCTTCAGGCTGCACTTGGATACCAGGCTACATGCCACACACATATGCTAACACAGCCTCTTTATGTAGTGTATCTGTAAAAACTAATTGGATATTATGCTATTGCGCCACTGCTTGGAACTCATAACCCTTCTTATATAACCTACCATTAGGCCTTAGCAGCTTGTCTTTTGAAATTCTCACTAGTAGCCACTGAGTTCCCAAGTGTGCTTCCAGAGGAACCATCTTACTTCGAAGACTGCAATTCTGAACATTGTCATTTACTTCAGACTGATTCAAGCCTTACTTTGCACAGTAACATACAGAAAAATGATCGAATTTGCTAGTAAGGGACCTTAAGGTCACAGCAGGAGGCCCCATCCGGCCCTGCTGAGCTTGCCACAGATCCCTGCTCAGTGAGTCAGTGCAAAATGACTTTAAATCCTCTTGGATCAGACATTTTAAAGTAATAAAAAATAACTTTAAAAAAAAAAGATATTTTGAAAAATGTCAGTGAGGTCTAATGCTGTTTTATGGACATTCTTTATAACTTTTTTGTCTTCCTTAGAAGAATGAAGGTCATTCAGGTTTAGAATGACATAAGGGTGAGTGCGCTCTTAAAAATAAAGGTTTTTTATTGCATCTATGGTTCCATGAAGAACCTACATTCCCATTCCACAAAAGGTTCTTTACAGTGGATAACTGTTCTTTAGATTTTTAAAATGCTCTAAGAACTAAGAAAAAAGTGTTAAGAACTTTGGTTCTTCTTTTGCATCGTTGGAAAACCCGCTTTCGCAACCCTTATTTTTAAGTGTAAATGGACAGACTCTGCATTTTAAAGACCTCCCAACTTAATATGTATAACAACTGAAAACTTATAAAAATGAAAACTATTTTCAACTAAACCTCAGTATCATTCAAATTTGACTGTAAACAAACAAAATGTCCTACGGTTTTGGCTGCACTTGGTGTTCTACGTGTCTGCTGAGGGATGCCATACTTACTCTCTGGGGTCTGTAGGCGTCCACGGCCAGCATCAGTCTGACATACAGGAGTAACAACATGTGAAGTCCAGCACATTTCTGTGTCTTCATCCTGCTACTAACTCTCCAGGATACCGTCCAGTGACTGAACAGCGAGGGAGGCCAGTCTGCGTATACACTCACGCACACTCACAAATCACGAAGCAGGTTTCTCACACTGGACCACACAGGCGCACCAATAGAGACCTGTCACAACGAGCTTTCCGGAGCCAAATGGGCTCTCCTCTTTTAAAAAAAGAGGAGGAGAATGAGACATCAATCAGTGCTAGTCTAGGACTTAGCAGTTTTTTTTTTTCCTTTTTTCTGCGATTCTCTCTGATCAGGACAACCCCTTGAAGCTGTCATCTGTCTTGGCCAGATTTGGCCCAGTGTCTCCACGGATCCAGATGTGTCAAACTATATGTGTTTGCAAAATCCGCCAAGGGCTCACATCCAGTCTTCTCCAGCCACCAGTGCGTGCAAGGCCGTCTGGGAGGCATGCATGTCTGTCCCGTCGCTGTGCGCTCCAGTCCCACTCTGCTGTCACCACGTTTCCTGCTTGCCGACTTCCAGGCTCAGTTGCTCGCACACAGAACATGTGGTTTTAAATGTGATCCAGACCTCTACAGAGGGCAAGGAGTGAAAAGGGGAGGGGAAGGAGGAGGAGGAGGAGGGAAGGGGGAATGGAGGGATAAAGGGAGGAGAGAAAGTGTGTGGAGCAGAGAGACTGAATGCAGCCAATATCCCACTTAAATGCAGCAAAGTGGTGGAATGAAATGGGAGGGGGGAACTAAGCCGACATGCCCTTTCTCTTGTTATCTCTGTGTGTGTGTGTCACTCTCAGGCAGACCCAACAATGAGCTTGTAATACGAGTCGGGAATTAGAGGGAGTTTTAATGCAGCGTAATGGGCTGTGAGTGCCGCTCTCTGCACCCACACTCTACGAGCTCTATCGGACCATCTGAATGCTTTAACTTTAAAAGCTTCAAAAGAATCTATTATCAGCGGTCAAAGGAATCTATTACTAAATTGTTTGTGTAGGTTCTCAACATCACTTTAATCAAATGTGGATGAATTGTGTGGTCAAATGTAGATCTAAAATGACACAGATATTGGATAATCATGGAAAGGAAATAAAAGGAAATCATGTTGTGATCAGATACAATGTGAAGAGCCAAATACAAAATAAAAACAGAAATTAATATTCAAATAAAAGGTCATTATTAAAAAACATTACAAGAAATACATAGATTAAAAGTAATACATGACTTTGTAACGATCAGAAATATATCAGAAATAATTGGAGTAACATTTTGCATATGTGGCCCCACAAATATTTGTACCCTTAAGTCGCACTTAAAATATGAATGTCAGTGTATTATATGAAATTATCACACCGATATCTGCAAACAAATGATGTTTTTCTTAGCTGTTTATAATTACTTTTAACAACTGATCCCAAGGTGATTTTTAGTGGATGTATAAAGTCCATTTCCCTCAAGTTCACGCAGTTGTACTAGCATATACTGTATATTATGACTTTTTTCTTGCAGACGAATACAATCGATTAAAAAATGTCCTGGCTATTCCAAGCTTTATAATACAGTGAATGGCTGTTGAGATTTTGAAGTCCAATAAAGTGCATCCATCCATCATAAAAAGTGCTCCACATGGCTCCAGGGGGTGAATAAAGGCCTTCTGAAGCAAATCGATGCGTTTGTGTAAGAAAAATATCCATATTTAAAACTTTATAAACCATAATCTCTAGCTTCTGCTAACTGTGGTACGAACGTTCACGAGAAAGTGGCATTCAGCGGATAACGTAGGACGTATAAGTGTAACGCAAGCTCCAGTGACAAGTGACAGTGACAATATCTCATGAGAACCAAGTTTTGTTTACAGCAAAGGAAAACCGGTCTCATCCAACAATTTTCTTTACAAATCCTCATTTTGTACTAATTTGTGAACAGTGTTTTGATTTGCTCTCTCCTCTGTGCTACCGCATTCGTCACTTCTCACCAGAGCTTATGCTATGCCTACGTCATCCGCTAGAAGTCCACTCTAGACTTCAAAGTCTCAACAGCCATTCACTACCATTATAAAGCTTGGAAGAGCCAGGACATGTTTTAAGATAATTCCAATTGTATTTGTCTGAAAGAAGACAGAAGTCATATACAACTAGAATGGCTTGAGGGTGAGTAGATCATGGGGTGCTTTTCAGTTTTGGGTGAACTATCCCTTTAACTATGAACAGAAAGACATCCAGAAAGTGTCCATACTTCATTTAAAACCTCTTTTTGCTGGATGTTTTAAACACTATAGCTTACTATGTTGCTTTTAAATAAATGAAACATGGTTATAAGTGTGATTTAAATATCCAAATACTTCTTGGAGCCGCAGAATAAGTTGAAGGCACAAAAAAATAAACAAAGCACATATTATTCCCATAGAAAGGGATCTTCAAGAAAAATTTAGAACTTTTGACCGATCTTTGATTGCCAAACTTTTGCCCTCTCAAATCCATTAGTGGCTGATCTGTAGTCTGAGATGGCTTGATCAATCTCTTCTTGTGTGTTCATGACAAAAGGCCCTGAAACAAATAAATAAATCCTCTGGTTTAAAAAAAATATATATTTTGGATAATGTAGAAATACAGAATGTTTATAATATAACACATGTAAATATATTTATATGCAATATTTAACTATTCAAATTAGCACTGTCAATTTAACATGTTAATTCAGTGCAAATAACTATAAAGACTACAAAATATCAAAATCTTGCCCCCTTATCTATGTAAATCACATTTGACACAACAATGTGATGTATTTTCTCAGCAAATATTTGTATATGAAATACATTTAATTTGATTAATGAATAGTCAAATCATGTAATCATACCCCTAATTCAAAAAATACTTGTTCAATAAAATGTAAAATATTACCTATACCATTATAACTTACCATGCTGAACCACAGGTTCATTAATGGGTTCACCAGCAATTAACACAAAGTGAGACTCTTCAGCTGCCTAGAAATAATAATGAAGGGATATAAAGAGACTGAATTTACAGTAAACCTGAATTCATACAAAAACTACCAGAGTAGCTTCATAGGAATAGCAGGAGGGGGGAAAAACCTTGTTTTCCACTCTGACGCATTCACCATCTGCCAAAACCACTGTGTGGTGTGGCTCAATTGTCTTCAGATCATCGTCTGGGCCTGAGGGAAATTCAAATAGATCGAAAGAATTTCACAATCCTATACAAATGACATTTCTAGAACCTGGAAATCATCAAAATCAACCTGATAAATCAACATATCAAGCACTGCTTTGGCAATCTCATTTCTCAACGTGAGAGTTTAGAGTTGCCGTTGGCACAAGATCATAGGAATAGTCTAAATGTCTGTCAGATGTCCAAGAGAGAGAGAGGAAGTGAAAAATAATCGTAAAGCACCTGCTCGAATTTCAAGGACAGAAAGCTGCTAGTGGTTTTGCCTGCAGGAAGACAAAGTTTCTTTTTAATACGGTCTTCATTTGAACTCACCAGTGCATAAAGAACCTGCGAGGGTGTAGAGGAAAGCTGTCCAACCTGAGAAAGGAATACTACAATTAAAACATTGGAACCATAATTATAAAATAATAATAGTTGTAGGGTTAATGCAGCTAAATTGGGCCTCATTTGAGTGACTTAGCATGAATCGACCCTGTATGTTAATATACAATGGAACCAAAAGTCTGAGACCACCCTTAAAACATGAGATTTAAACTCCCATTTACACCTAATAATATATATATATATTATACATTTTTATATATAAATATTTATTCATTCAATTACAGAACATTATACCATATTATGTCATATTAATATTCTGCGTTAGAAGCAAGAGATTTCAGGAAGTCATATAGTACCACTCAAACTTTTTCTTATCTTGATGTGATTGTATTGGCCATTCTGAGGCTGCATTTGGACACACAGAACCAGGACCAAAAAGCCTGACTCAACCGCTCTAATCTGCGGTCAGTTTCTGATATTGATGTACAAAAAAGCTTGATACTCATGCCAAAAGGCTACACTATACCTTTAAGAGCACTTTAAAACTCTGTACCATTTATACAAGCACACTTCATGGGCACTCAACTTTTTTTTAATATCTTGCCTTCAAAACCTCTCAAGATGAGCCAAAAGAAGAGACACTGCTTTAGTGACTCAATGGATGAACTATGACTTTATCCACTATTTGAGTTAAAATAACACAGTACTATCTTTTCCCAGAATTTTGTGTAAGGTATGATGTTTCACAGTCATGCATTTAATGAGCAAAATAAAGACTTACTCAAAATGTGTTTGCCTTAACTAGAAAAAATGCCATGTAAACCACGTTTATAATGTTTGTAAGTACTGTACAGTAACTTTGGGATTAATGGAAAATAATAATAATTAAATAATCATCAAGACATCTGATAATAATTTTTTTACCTTTAGGAATAGGCTGCAAATGCTTTGCACCTTCCTTCAACACAAAGTCGAGGTACATGGTTGGAGTTCTCGTGTAAACCTTTGACTGGCAACAGAAAAGGCATGTAAGTACCACAACATAATATTTAATCTTGAAAAAATTATGGTTGACAGCAGAAGACTACTGTGAAAACAACATTTTATGTTCTTTATTCATAACATATCCATTTTTAACAGATTTTGTCATTGCTACAAGACAAAAAACAAGGGAAATTGTTCAATATTGTTTAAATTATGAGCTCAAACAGATGTAAAAACATTGTGTGTGAGTTCCAGTGCATATCTGGTTCCAGTAAGCCCAAGTATTTGGCTGACCCACATTTAACTTCAACGCTGCATCCACCCCTCTGCCCTAGAGAAACCCTCCATAACCACATTTTACATTTAAAACATTTTACAAAAACCACTTCCAATGAAGCCTGCTCCGAATTTCCTGCTGTTGTCTGAGAGAGGGGGCAGAGGATGCCCTTGCAGCAGCAATTCGCCTGATGGACTTCAGTATCGGATTGTAAATTGGACGTTCTGATTGGATGGAACATTTACAAAGAAGTCGGCCGTTTGGATCAAACATTCGGTTATAGCTGCTCAACATGACTCTAGGATCTTGTATTTTGTATTTCCCGTAAATCATAGATGGGAAAGAGACAGACAGAAGTGTGGGTAATAGTCGTAATGTGTTGATAAATGGATGCACAAATGAACATGTTTGCGAAATTACAGACGATAAACAGATGCAAGTGTCAGGCAAACAGAGGCGTACTGACTACTTTTTTTCACTCAGTGGTTTGGTTCAAAGAGTTTAGAATAATTATGAGGAGCATGTTTTTTATCACCTGATAAACATGAAGGCCTTCTGGCTGGTAAAATCATCCATACTCCATATTAATGCTTTAGTATATCTGAAAACTACTAAGAGAACTTTTAAATCCAATAAACTTTTAAAATCGTTTTTGAAGGTTTTGGCATACTTATTGATAGTGAAAAGAGGGATAAGAATGGAAACTATGAGGAAAAGAAGGAGAAACTGGGCTCCCAAACAAGCACCTTTGCTCTGTGAAGCACTTGTTCTAACTACGTTAGGCTAGAAATGACCTTACTCCAAGGCTCCCACATGTTTTGAACAAAGAATTTCCATTACTAATCCAGTTGTTTATTATTTGTTTATTATAAGTATTTTTAAAGTATTTCCATTCCAATTCAAATATATCTGCTTATGAATAATTCCAATTTGCGAACCTTCTGAGTGACTCATTGAAAACAACTATTCAAATGAACTGTTCATTCACAAATCAGTTTTTCTACATTCACACAACTTTGATGATTTCCTGATTTACTTCTATTGAACCATTTATATTAAACTAATGGTCAAAAGTTTGGATTTTTAAATGTTTTCAAAACAAGCTTCTTATGCTCATCAAGCCTGCTTGTTTTTCTTTTTTTTTAATTAAAATTAAAGTTATATTGTGAAATATTGTTACAATTTAAAAGAAAAGTTGTATTATTAATAATTAAATACCATCAATAATTGATAATAATTGAATAATCAGCATATTAGAATGATTTCTGAAGAATCATGTGGCATTGGATACTGGTGGAATAAATTACAATACATTAAAATTGAAGAATAAGAATATATTTAAATTTATTTAAAGTTATTTTAAATTGTATCATAGCAAATTGTAATACCTCACAGTATTACCTTTTACTGGTGAGCATAATAGACTTCCCTCAACAATCCCAATATATATTCCCTATATATATATATACTGTATATATAGGCTATTCTCTTAATGCAATAGCTTTAACTTAATGAAAGATTGCAGACTTTGTCCTTCTGTAGGTTTCTCCCATCTGCATGTATGATCATGGAGCTCAACTAGGGTGACCATCAGCTTCTTGGTCACCAGTCTAACCAAGGCCCTTCTCCATCAATTGCTCAGTTTGGCCAGGAGACCAGCTCTAGGAAGAGTTCTAGTTGTTTCAAACGTCTTCCATTAAGGATAATGGAGGCTACATGTTTCTGTGAATCTTCAATGCAGCAGATCTTCCCCAGATGTGTGGCTTGACGCAAACCTGTTTCTGAGCTCTACAGGCAGTTCTTTTGACCTCAGGGCTTGGTTTTTGCTCTGATATGCATTTTCAGCTGTTAGACCTTTTATTAAGACGTGTGCCTTTCCAAATCATACCCATTCAATTGAATTTGCCACAGGTTAACTTCACTTGAAGTGTAGTAACATCTACAAGCAATATGAATGCTCCTGAGCTAAATTTCAGCTGTCGCAGAATACTTATGCAATGTAATTATTTACGTTTTTTATTTTTAATACATTTGCAAAGATGTTAAAAACCTGTTTTTTTTGTTTTGCCATTATGGTTTATGGAGTATAGAATGATGTGGGGAAAAAGTCATTTAAAGCAATTTAACATAAGGCAGCAACATAACAAAACGTGAAAAAAAATTAAGTGGTAAGAATACTTTCGCAAGGCACTGTATATATATATATATTCCCAGATATTTCCCAGTTTTCCATGAAAATTAAGACAAAATACAAAACTGCTCTCAGATCAGTAGCTTGTGCTATAACACCTACCTTTAGTCCAAGAGCTTCCCCTGAGATTACGTTCACAGTGACTCCATCTTTGCTGGGTTTGGGAATCTCTTTGCTCTTCAGCTCCTGGTACTGAGGCTCCACCATCTTATCTGCACTTTTCAAGTTCACCCAAAGCTGAAGGCCATGAATGCGTCCATCCGACACAGGCATCTCAGCATGAATTACCCCACGACCTGCCGTCATCCACTAACATAACAGAAAACAAAGAACGAGAAGTGAGAACAAATACTAATGTTTTATTCCATTCTATTCTTAATGGAAGACCTATCTGGTAGTATTTGCCAATAAACAGACTAACCAACCGCTTGGTTCAGGGGCTTTGCGCACTGGTTAATGTCATCTTCATGTGGAGCATGAGAGATCTTTATGAGCTTTTATTTCAACGTAAAAATGAACCACTCCACTTTTACAACAACAGCTTAATATACCTAATGGAGCACTTTTCTTTCACCTCTTCCTTTTTCGCTGTCTCTTAGTGGAAATTTCCATTCGTTCTGAGGTTTAGCAGCCCCTCTCAGGGAGCCATTGGGCACTAGGTAGTTTGAGTTATGGAGTGAAACACTCTGTGCTACTGGTTTTATCAGGGAGTCCCTGAGTGTTTGATGGTGAGGCTATAGCCCCGGTAGCTGGAGGTTAGGTGCGAGCTGTAGTTAAAGTAGTGAGGCCTACAGACATATTAAATGCCCATTAAAACATTCCCTCACTGACCCGGGAGAAATTGAGACAGCTTTATGACACAGAAAAACACAGGAAGTGCCCTACGGGTGTAAAAGCTGTGTGTGTATGCATGGATATAACATCCTATTAAACGTAAATACATTTTAATTATAGCTTAATTTTAAATTATTTTAATTTGCAACCATTTTTTACAGTCAGTATATAAAAAATTAAAATGGTGGCTTTCATTCTATCTATAATAGACTTGCGTAAGTGTACATATTTCTGATGTGTACTTTTGGCTCACTTTTTTTAAGTAAAAGGTCCGGTCCCACTTTATATTAGGTGGCCTTAACTACTATGTACTTACATTTAAATTAATCATTTGATACAATGCACTTATTGTGTACATACATGTTTTTACATTGTACTTATATTTTAAAAATACCTGCATGTAATAAATAACATCTGTAATTCATTTCTGTAATTACATTTATAATTACAATGTTGACCAATTCCTTACACCTTAGCCCACCCTAAAACCTAGCCATGCCACCAAACCTTACCCGTATCCCACCTCAATACCAGCAAAAGTGCTATGCAATATAATATGAACACAATAAGTGCATTCATTGTACTTATTTTTTGATCTAAGTACATAGTAGTTAAGGCCACCTATTATATAAAGTGGGACCAAAGGTCGTTTTAAAATGATATTAGACATGTAGTCTTTAACGTAACAGTTATTTTCCATTGGCAAAATTTCACATGAAAAAAAGTTCAGTGTTGATTAAATTACTACAAGCTGTTCTACCTGAAGATCCCCAGGTTCTAACCTCCCGCTGTGACCACAGGAGTCTTCATGGGCTGTTACTCCACTCAACAAGTATGTTACCTGTGCAAAAAGCAAAACATATTTAACCACGTATGTGGGAATGAAAGAAAAGTCCCACATGTGAAGCCATTTGAAACACAGGGATGAGGTGTAAGATTGTAGTTTTCTGATTGAAAACGAAGCCATTTCTTGGGGAAATATTCACGCAAAAGACAGTATGGAAAAGTCATCAACTTGACGTTCATTTAGAGGAAAATAAACATGTCAAAAATCATACAGGTGAAAGGTGAAACATATTTAAAGGGCTGTGTTTGCAGAGTAGATGCAAAAAGTTTATGTTTGAGGGATTTTGGTAAAGCCCTGATGGACTATAAAGCTAAATGCCAAAAGCAGATACATCCTAGGCTGTGAGATGGAAAATAAAAAGTGTTAGCGGTTGATGATCTAATGAACATTTGATCTGTAAATAATTCTGACACAAATACGAATACACATATTTTTCGAATGTCTAGTAAAGGTCTTTTATGCAGCATAAAAAAACAGTCCTTCCAGGTCAAGACAGAGCTAGAGGCTAGATGCTAATGTGTCATAATCAAAATTTGCATATATTAAATAAACATCTTTCCAATTAACAAAATCTGCCCGAAGCCTTTTCCCATTTGTCCACTGAAAAAGTAAAAATGAATGTACATGGTCAGCTCCAGGTGGTCCGACATACAGCGTGGATGGATTGCATGCCATCTCCCACACAGACAACGCTGCTCTCAACAGGATACGGGAGGCAGGGTAAGAGGTCAACATCTGAACCCTCGGAGGCTTGCTTGACCTGTGGCCACAGGCAGCCTGTGATCTGCAAGCACAGCTGTGATCTGACAGTCATGTGGCTGTTCGTGAGCAAACACACCTGCATGTTTTAGGCAACATAGAAGTCCAATTCTGCTAATAATGCTCATATGAAAAATGAAAACTCTAGAACCTACAAAGAGAGCCTAAACTCGACGAGCAGACTGGATATTTATCCCTCACAGCCTTGTTTTAATTTGCATCTATCCGGACTAAAGTCCATTATATATTGTTTGTCTGTGTTATGTACTGTATGCCTGCTGAACAAATTACCACTCTAGAGGGAATAAATATTTAGCCACAATTTGTCTTTAGAGTGCTCTCACAATGAGTCACTTTCCAGCAAATCTCTGAATACAAATATTACAAGAAAAATCCATTCATGAAGAAAGGTGACACATAGTCAGACTCATTCTGTATAGTGAATGAGATGAGACTATATCTGTGCAGATGGCAATAGATGACACCAAACTGTTTAAGGAAACGAGTCTAAATGATTTCCACAGCCGCACAGACCCACTTTCCATAGGAACAGTTTATGACAAACACATTGCCAAACTGTGAGTAAACAAATGAGTACATCAGATGTTGTAAATAAATAAGGAGACAAGAAGGCTGAGTGAGTTGGTCAGCTTTTCTTTAGTCAAGTTTCAGAAAATACTCTCAGGACCAGTTCTGGCCAAAATACTGACATTTTAAAGGAAGCGTTTTTAATGACCATACATTCTCTCACAATTGAGTGAACAGTTTTTGAGTACTTAAACTGCCAAAAACGATGGGAGTGGTTTACTGGACAATCTTTATATGCTCGGCAGCTTTGTTAAAATGGCCTTTTTTCTGTTTGGACATGACATTTTGAAGGACGCCTTAAAAATAAAAGAAAGAAATCGAGAAAGAAAACCCAATAGGCTTTAGTTACATCACAGCAACAAACCAGAATTTGCTACTTTCTAGTTGGTTGCATTTGTTTGCAGGGAAGGGTCATTATCATTCCAGAGTGCATCTGATTGGATAAAAAAATTTTGTAGTACAGGATGAGTCATCAATATTTATTGTCAGGTTTTTTTTTTCCAAAAAAAGACTGCACATTTTAAATGTGTGGGCTATGTGCTAAAAGTGAATTTTGTCAATGTTTTGTGTATTAACATAGACGACCTCAAAGCGAAAATCAACTAAAGCCAGTTTGGGTGACTGCAGTGCTAAAACGTTAAGAACCTGTGAGCCCTCTAGTGGTCAAAGTAATCTATCTTTGCGATGGGTCCACCTTCTCCTATTTTAACTCTTTTCATAGTGTATTTTTAATTCAGTGAATGTTAACCATTCTCAGTGTCATTATTTAGTTGAAAAAAATGTACGGTAATAAGCCTGTCGTATTTAATTATTCAGACGGCTGTAGAAGCATCATTCAAGAAACATGTTGTCACGTTGTACCTGTTACTTTTCTCAGCGATGTTTTGGATGGACTAATCACAACCGCTTGTTATTGCAGGATAAGCGTACTAGTTGTTTCACAGAAAACAGATGTCCGTTTATCAGAAAATGTTTAGGTATTTAAGAGAATTAAACAACTACACATTTAAGTGTACCAAAGTCTTTCGTAAACCAACAATAAAAGTGCTGAAATGTCTTTTTGAGCCGCCACGCGCCTCCTGGCGGAAGACTCCGTTTTGTCCTGATCAGAACCGTCAGGAAGTAGAAGGCTAGTAACATTACACCGCAATTTACTTCAATTCATTTCATCTGACTGCAAGGATTAATTTAAGAAGTGTCGGTCTTTCCATAACTATATTAATTCATAGTTTGAAAGTACACGGCTTTGCCTCTTGAGTCTTGACTGCTGGAAAATAAATAGCGTTTACCGTCTCAAATCCACGGTGAGGATGATCAGGAAAACCCGCTGGTTTGGCGATACAGAATTCATCCAGCATCAAGAAAGGGTCGAGATTCTTCATCTGAAATAAAACAGTGCAATGCAATGCAATGTGTCATCGTGCATTTAAAAAAAAACCGAGTTTCATGCGTTATATAAAAATGCTAAAAACAGCAATGAAAACGTACTTCTTTCCGTCCAATACTCCGGCGAACTCGAGCCCCAACGCCTTCAGACTGTTCCACACTCAAAACGACCTTAGCAACTCTTCTAATCATGATAAACACCTTGATATCTTCTTATAATCCCAATATTTTGCTTCAGTTCTCAGTTTGTGAGCTCCCAAGTGCACCGGAAGTCAAAAACGAAACACGATGCACATTTATTTAGACACAACTCTGCTCTGCAGTGTTATTCGCTATTATAGTAAATCTGTATTCACCTATGACAGGTGTATGTTTTGTATGTTGACGTTTTGGGTTTGCCATGGTTTCCTACACAGATCACAGTCAATCCCACTAGATTCGGATTATTTAAAGGCGCAGTGCAAATTACAATGACAATGCAATATTTTGAGCCACATAAGAGTGACTGCATTTACACATGACTGTTGGTTTAAATGAGACCCCCCAAAAAAGGTTAGGTCATTATTTATTAGTCAGCTTCATATACAGTGCAGCATCATAAAATATAATTTCACAGCTGTTAGCATTTCCCCCCTTCCTTGTTACTTGACACCTGAGACTGCTGATCAGGTTCTCTCTGTCTTTGCAGGTGTTTGTATGTAGATGTTACAACCACATGAGGCCGTGCATATGTGATATGTACTCTTCAGTGTGGGTCTTCTCCATCCTTTCTGATGTACTCTCATCCAATCCACTGTGTTGAGCTATGATGTCTTTGAAAATGCGTATACTCGTGGCTTGACCCCCTGCAAGGTTCACTGCATGAGGCCCAACCTGTGGATATTTCATATATTTATTACCTGTACTGTGCTTGTGGTAATGTTATCTGCAGCCTAAATCATAGTTAGCGTGCAGGTGTTATATTAGAAATTACTCAGTGATGACTCATAGTACGATGACTCACTCAAATGTGTTCACCTCATACCACACATAATAATACATAACAAGAACATAACAGCACCTGAAGTGCTGCATATTGTCCCATCATGTAGAGGGGGCATCCTGCTGTCCACTGCAGTGATTCTGTTATGCATGGCCAGCCCTCCAGAACCTGTCAAGCAGGAAATGCTTCACTTTTGTACAGTTGTGCACATGAATAATTTAAAAAACTTTTCAGCATTTTAAAAACCTACTGTATTTGATACACATTTCTTAAGCTTCTAAATTATCAACATGATCAAAATGTATTGAAAAACCTGTTGTACACAATCTACTACATGCCTTCTGTCATCTAATTGATAGTTCATACTTTTTAGCAAGTCAAAGGTCTTTAGGTTGTGGTACACCTGTCTTTTTACTTTGAATTCTTTATATTGTAGTAATATTTCAAGATGAGCACTTACTGGACTGAATCAACTTTACTTGATTACCCATACATGATTTTTTAGAAAATGTTAAAATGTGACTATCAAATATGATACATCAGGCTTTTAAAGAACATTTATTTTTATTTATTGTAATGCATTTCATTAAATGAAAACTACAAAGCTTTGATTATGATACTAAGGATTTATGAGCCACAAAATCCTGATCAAATATGATACTTAACAACAAGGGTTAAAAGTCTGGTCTATTACCATGTAAGTATATAGTGTAATAATGTATTTATATTTGTATTATGATTCTTATGTTGAACCCCTGTTTTAAAGTTTTTGGATAAGTACAAACTTGAAATGTCCACTTGCTCACTTGAATGGGGAATTTTGTCATGATGTCAGAGAGTAAAGGGTCCTGGGTAACATCCAGTTTGCAGCCTGTTGCCAGCCAAATCTTTTCTCCACCCCATTGTTCTCCACTGCACAAGGAAACCCTCCAACGCTGTGACTGATAACACCATTTAGCTTCAGCCACCTCGGGGTAAAGACATTTTAAATAATAAAATATTAATTACATTTAATTAAGAAATCCAGTAACTTGGTTTGCACTGCTAGACTCTTTGAACTTAGATATTCTTTGGACTTTGTGCTCAGCTGTTAATGACTCATGACATGTAGCATCCCACTTGAGCATAGCTGCCTCACAATATAGCCAAACGATTTTGACACACCTGGCAATGAGCTCTGATCAGGAGCTGGCCACTCTGAATGAAAGGCTGAAGTTGTGCGTAGGCCTCAGGGGTCACTGCTCCTCCTTTCCTGGCTTGTTTAATCATCGCTAGCCTCTTGTGAAGACTTCTTTCATTATAGAACTGCCTTAAGTAGGCCAGGCCATCCATCTTGATCCCATGCTCAACGTGGGAATAGCGTCCAATCAGACTCTCTATATCCCCAACGTCAAACTGCTTCAGCTGAGAGAGAGGGAGTAAAGTTTGTTATTTTAAATTAATAAATTAATTAAGCAAAGGTGCAGATTTTTTGCTTCTTCGAGCTTGAAGACAGAGGGGTGGTGGGATTAATTTGGTGGTTCATATATCTGACATAATTTCTACAATGGCCAACATCACCTAGAGCACCTTTTAATAAACATTCCATGTCCATTCATTTATTTGGCAGGTAGCAGGTTGTTAATCTCAAAATAAACCCCTTCAGGGTGATACACAACCCCTAAATTTTGTATTGTTAGGGATTATTTGGCAGTTATGATCAGTTGATTTTACATTTTCCTTTATGTAGCTATGTTTACACTCAATTTACCTGTAAGTGTTTTCGTAAGACCCAGGTCACATGACATGCACCCTGCTTTAGCGCAATTGAGACAATATGGGCGCTGGTCAGACCTCCACCTACCACCATCACTCTCTGACCCATCTGACACACAGGAGGACAACCTGAGAAAAAGTGCATATTCATCATCTTAAATTATTCAAATATAGTATGTATTTAGTTATTTTTTTGCTTTATATCTGGCTGATCAGGAATTGATAACATTTAGAAACTCACCTGAGGAGGATTCACCCATCTTTTCATGTGTACAGAAGTAATGCATGAGCTGCACTGTGTGTTGTAGACTTTCCTCTGGGTAACTCTCCTGTATTGCCCGCACCCAACATGGGATGTTTGCCATCTGCGCCCTGGAAGGTCCAGTTGCCATGATAACTGTTTTTGCCTCTATATTTTCCCCAGTGTGTAGTGTCACCTTGAAACACTTAACCTTACTTTCATCCTCAATTAAGACTGGGATGATTCTGTCCACTGTGGCTCGGATTAAGACACTGTCCAGGTCATATTTGCGTACCTAGGTGGAAGTCCTTTGCAATGTAATCCATCATTTATTGTTATTTCATAGTGCATTTATAATTCAACTTTTAAAGTTAGTTTAGTATTCAAACACATTGCACTTAGCATTCCAAATGAGATATTTGATAATGCTATAGCTGAAACTCAATTTCTCATAATGGTCAGAGTATCATGCAGCACAGTTTTTCTTAATACCAGTAGTGCTGTTAAAGCAACTGTATGTAGTTTTGTGTAGGTTTGCGACTTTGGGGCCCCCTACAGTTAAAAGAGTGGAATTCACTGTCGTAAATATAACACTGCCATAATTACGGTGGACAGCTGCACGTGCATTTGTTGCTGCCATAAAGCAATCCGCCCTTTTCGGGGAATTTCGTACCGGCTCACCAATCTTGTGCCGAGCCGAACCGTGCCGTGCCGTACTGAGCCGTACCGAGCCGAGTCGTACCACGCAGTGGAAAAGCGCCAGTACATATACTTAAAGAACAGCCGTTTGTGAGGGAGTGTGAGAAAGAAGCCAACATCATCCTTATTAGAAGTCAGTGTACCATCAGAATGACTTTGAATGATTAGACTATACTTAAAGAAAAAAAAAAGTACATTCAGTTGCTTTAAAACCAAGCATTCCACAGTCGGTTTATTAATTATTGTTAGTCAGGCATTCTGTTGCGTGATGTTCAGACCTGCTCCTGGAAGAAGTCAATACTGAGCTGTGTTCCTGGAAGACTGAAATACAGGTTTTTCTGTAGGCCCTTTGTTGTGCTAAGAAGCTTTTTGTCCTTCTTTCCCAGGCGATTGTCGTTAAAAAATGCATTATCATCTTGAATATACATTTTCTCAGGTAAACAGTTCAGCTCATCCTCCCGATTTTGCTCCAGCACAAAGTCCTGCAAGGCCTTCTGAGATTGTACACAGATGCACAAACTATTAGTCCTTTTGATAGACAACATCATTGTAATGTTTATTTCTTGGTTTGCATTATTGTTTATACATTGTTCGCGTCTGACCATCTGTTGATCTGTTGTATTTTCTTACAACAAAGTACTATAACATTTTTTATGCTTTAAATCAGGGATTTCCAAACTTTTTTTTGTCAGCCGAAGCCCTTTTACCTAAATATATTTACTTGAAGTTTTCTTTTGAAGTTTTCCTTTTAGATTTTAAGTTAACATTTCAATAGTTGAATAACACATGCTGTTCACGGCTCTCTGATGTTAGTTAATTGTAATAATTGTGAAATTATGTTTAGTTAGACAAACTACATTTCAGCATTATAGTAAATGTTTTATTTGAGTTGTTTTTACAAGACACCATCCCCCAGCACTGTGGAGAATCAACAACTGGCACAATTGTCGATTTGTATATTTTTAGTCCTTATTTACTTGTTCTATTTTAAATTTTATTATCTGTGTTTTTTGTTCTGTCACTGTGGAAGCTTCTGTCACGAAAACTAATTCCTCGTATGTGTAAACATACCTGGCAATAAAGCTCATTCTGATTCTGATTCTGATTTTTCATTTTAAATTATTTTGTTTATTTTTCCATTCTTATCAAATTATTTAGCTTTTCATAAACTTACGAACCCTCAGTTTGGAAATCCTGCTTGAACTTTTTCGAAGAGTAGAGTATTTCAAAAGCACACGTTATCAAAACGGAGATGCAGATGTCAACACTTTCTCTCCAGTGCTAAGTTACCTTGTTAAATGGATCGGTGTGCACCAGCGTGTGTGATCGAAGGTGAGGGATGTTCAGGGCGGTAAACTGACTTTCCCACAGTGATGTCCATTTTCCATAAGAATCCACCACTTTGAAATGCAGCGGAGGACATGGCAGACATTTGGCTTCATTCTTTGTGTCAAACACTGGCCCTGTTGGAAAGAAGATCTAAATCGGTCTGTGATTATAGGATATATGCATAGAAAAATAAACCATAACCAATCTGTTGTCCTTTTCACAAACTGCTTGACTCACTGATGGGTTGTCTCTTTTTGTTTTTGTAGTCTACACTTTTAGCTTTAGTTTTGCTCAGTTGAATTCCCTGAAGGATGTCAGCACTAGATTGGCAGAGAGGTTTTTCAGGCTTTGAG